GAAGCTTTGCTGTAGCCAGTCTACCATCAGTAACCTTCTGATATATGAAATAATAGTAGCATAACCACTAGTATCATAGCAACATGCAAGCCACCATAGTATAACAAACTGACAGATGGGATTTAGTGTTGCTCCTTGCTGTTGTTATTAGGCACTATTGAATTGGTGCAGACTTATAATGACAAAACAAAACATTGCCAGGTTCTGCACCATCCTCATCACTGTTGCAGCCACTGTATCAATCTATCCCCTTGAGGGTCTTCTTGTCACTTACTCTCCATTTTACCAAGCATGATGTCCTTTTCCAGGGTCTGGTCCCTTCTGATAACATGTCCAAAGTATGTAAGACTAAGTTTCACCATCCTCCCTTTTAAGGACCATTCTGGCTGCACATCTTCTAAGACAGATTGGTCCTGTTCTTCAGGCAGTCCATGGTATTGTTAACATTCTTTTCTAACACCATAATTCCAAGTCATCAATCTTTCTTTGTTCTTCCTTATTCATTGTCCAGTGTTCGCATGCATATGAGGTGATTGAAAGTACCATGGTTTGGGTCAGGTTCACTTCAGTCCTCAAAGTGACACCTCTGCTTTTTAACACTTCAAAGAGGTATTTTGAGGTATATTTGTCTGACACAACATGTTGTTTGATTTCTTCATTGCTGTTTCCAGGGGTGTTGATTATACATCCATGAAAAATGAAATCCTTACCAAGGTTTTTGACTGAAACCTTTGATCTTCATCAGTAAATGCTTCAAGTCTTCTTCATTTTCAACAAACAGGACTGTATAATATGCATACTGCAGGTTGTTAATTGGTCTTCTTCCAATCCTGATGTTACATTCTTCTTTACATAGTCCAGCTTTTTAGATTATTTACTCAACACACAGACTGAAAAATATGGTAAAAGGATACAACTTTGACACACACCTTTCCTGATTTTAATGAACAAAATATACTTTTCTGTTCAAACATCTGCCTCTTAGTCTATATATAGGTTCCACAAGAGTACAACAAGTGCTGGAATTACCATTCTTTATAATGTCATGCATAATTTGTTATGTTTCACACAGTCAAATACCTTTGCATAGTCAATAAAACACAGGTAAACATAGTTCTGGTATCCTGTGCTTTCAGCCAAAATCCATTTGAAATCAGCAATGATATCTCTTTTTCCATATCTTCTTCTGAATTTAGCTTAAACTTCTGGAAGTTCCCTGTCAATGTACTGCTGTAGTTGCTTTTTAATTATCTTCAGCAAAATTGTCTTTAAGAACTCCTAAATTATAAATACATTGTAAAAACTAGGCATACTTTCCTTTGCTCTTTCAGTGATAGTGGTAGTGGTGGGGGTTATGTGCTATCAAGTCGGTTCTGACTTATAATGACCCCAGGTTTCCCCAGGCTGTAAATCTTTACAGGAGCAGAAAGCCTCATCTTTCTCCTACACAGCAGCTTGTGGATTTGAATGGTTGGCCAAGCAATTAGCAGCCCAACTCATAGCCCACTACACCACCAGGGCTCCTTTTTTCATTGAGAATACAGTCCAAATTTGAATTTTAAGAACTCAGTGAAAAATCAATCCCTAGAGAATCCTGTAAAGAATTTCCAAGTAGATGTTGTTGTTGTCAGGTGTCATTGAGTTGGTACCAACTCTAAGGTGACCCTATGCACAACAAAACGAAACACTGCCCGGTCCTGGGCCAATCTCACAATTGTTGCCACACTTGAGCTCATTGATGCTGCCACTTGACCAATCCATCTCACTGGGGATCTTCCTCTTTTTCTCTGACCCTCCATCTTACCAAACATGATATCCCTCTCCAGTGACTGGTCCCTCCTGACAATATGTCCGAAGTATGAGAGATGAAGTCTGGTCATTCTGGCCTCCAAGGAACACTCTGGCTGTACTTCTTCCAACACAACACAATAAATTCATCCTAAAAAAGAGTCCTGGTGTGGCACTGTGGGTTAATGCGCTGTACTGAAAAATTGGTTTGATCTGCAAGGTCAGCAGTTCAAGCTCACCAGCTGCTCCTGGGAAACTTGATACAGGGTCGCTATGGATTAGAACAGACCCGATGGCACTCAACAACAACAACAACAAAAAAGATTAAAAAGCTATTTCCATCCAAAATAATCCCAGCGCCCCCAATGAAATAATCTTGGGTAGACGTCATGCTTATCATGACTCTTTGGAGTCTTTTAAAGCAAATGAAAGACTTAGCAACAACAGAACCGTTTATTACTGTAATATTTCACAATTTGCAAAGCAGTGATAAACATATTACCCAATTTAACCATTAAAGCAATACCACAAGGCCAGTTAGCAGGTATTATTATCCTCATTTGTAAGAGCAGGAAATGAAGACTCAAGAAAATGAAAGACTTTGGCATAAATCACATATCCTAAGAGAGAATTTGGAACTAGAAAATCAGGTCTTTTTTCCTAGTCCAAAGCTCTTTCCATGATAATAAACAGCCTCATACATTTATAGTTTGCATAATAAAAACAACAGTGTATGCTAACTAAATACCCTCACTGCCATTGAGTCTGTTCTGACTCACAGTGATCCTGTACAGGGCTTCCAAGGCTGTAAATCTTTATGGTAGTAGAAAGCTCTTCTTTCCCCCTCTGAGTGGTGGGTTTAAACTACTGACCTTGCGGTTAGCAGTCCAGTGCTTATCCTACAGTGCCACCAAGGGCATAAATTCAGCACGTGATAGGCTCTAAGAAGTCTTTTTTTCCCATTTTTTCCCCCAAAGAAAGATTGAAACATCTTTTTTACTGAAGTTCCTTTTGCTATAGGATAGATTTATGATGACCTGATTTCTCTTGCCTGTCCATTTCTCTTTTGTTTCCTCACAAAATGTATAGGTACATAACACCTACACATCCATTTGCCTTCTGCATAATTTGCCTTCATGCATAATCTTCTTAGAACACATGACTATTTAACAAGTACAGTGTTATTTGGGGTAGTCAGAAATTGTTCACAGCAAAGTGAATGTGGTCACTTTGATCGTAGGTTTAATCAATGATCCCATATAAAGTTTTACCAGCCATATTCTGAGAATCAAGACAAGTTAACAGCTGAATGGACTAAATATATAATTACTCATATTTTTGTTTAATAAAGATTTCTATGATTTTGCAGCAATACTTGTTGACTTATCCTTGTAGATCAACCCTTGCCCCAGCACCATTTGGGCTTGTCAAATCTTCCCAACTCCTGAATTTAGATACTATTACTAAATGAACATATACATAAACCAATTCCCTGCATAAAACTAAAAAATTAAATAAATAACAAAAATTGTATTTGAAATGTTTACCTGTCAAAGGGGTACAGGACACTCCAGCATCTTCTTTATGGCCACAGTTATGCTCGCCCCAGGAACTCTTTGGGCATTGCTCAATAGAAAGCTCATTCCCAGTGCAACGTACTTCATCCAGTATAACTGGACCAGATCCTTCCCCAAAATATGCCTGGTTCCATGCTTTGGCGATGCCACTAAACATAAAAACATAAGCATTCTATATTAGGCACAAACGATTGGTTTGATTTGTTCCCTTTGCCCTCGGTAAAGACATGCTGTTGTTGTTGTTAAGTGTCATCGAGTTGGTTCTGGCACATAGCGACCCTGTATAGGGTTTCCAAAAAGCGACTGGTGAATTTGAACTACCAACCTGTGGTTCCAACCAACCATGCAGTCCAGTGCTTTATCCCACAGCACCATCCACATGAGGACATTGATGGCTCAGTAACAGAAATTCTTGTCTTCCATGTAGAAGACCTGGGTGTGATTCCCAGCTAATGCACTTCCTACATAGCCACCGCCCACTTGTCAGTTGAGGCATGAATATTGCTATGATGTTGAACAGGTTTCATGCAGAACTCCCAGACTAAATCAGACTAAATAGAAAGACCTGGCAATCTGCATTTCATTCCATTGTATATTGGTTACCCATGAATACAGGACCAACTCAACAGCACTCAACAATGACATGGTTAGCCCATACATACCCTTTTCAATTCACTCCAACATTCATGTATGACTTTCTGTCTTTGCAAATTTTCAATTATTACCCAATATTTATTATCCTTTTCTTCAGTAGTAATGGGACCTCAGATTCTTAGGAGGTCAAAGCTATCCAGATTAAAGATAGTTCCCAGTCTCCCCTCCTTCTAGATGACTAAATTTTGGTCAATTAGATGGAGGTAGAAGTGTCTTGTGTGACTTCTAAAAGTGTTCTTCCTTCCTCTTTCCTACTGATTACATGACTGGAGTTCTAGGAAGTACCTCGGGCCATATGATGACATGCTAAGGATAACCTGCCTAAGCAAGAAGAAGTCTCATACCCGGATGGTTGGGGAGCCATCTTCTTGAGAGAGAAACAAATTCCTATCTTGTTTAAGCTGTTATTATTTGTAGTTCTCTCTTACACCCAGGCAAGCCTACGTCTAACTAAAAGAAGATGTTAAAATAAAAGACCCAGTTAAGAGATAAACAACTGGGGTCTTTTATTTTTACTAAATTTACTTCCCCCATATTCTCAGGCTTCCAAATTCAGTGAAGATCAAGACTGCCTATCAAAAGGATTAATGACTTGACAAACTGTACTTCTAACCTTCTAATTTTTAGACAAGAGTATTTATATTTTTAGTTTGCTTTTCAGTGATGCTGCAGCTATTCCACATTGTTCATTTCAGCTGCCTTTTTCTCATAACCTTGTAACTGTCTAGAACTAATCAGACAAATGTGAAATAAATAAAACAAAGAAATTCTTAACACAAATGAGATTACCAAAATGACTTAATTTTATGAGAGAAGTTATTTTGCCAAGGGAAATGTCATGACAGACCAGAAGATAGTTTTTACTTCTCTGAACAGAAGTGATAAAGTTCAATTAACAGATTTTTAAAAATAAAGTTTTCAATTGTTTTGAAGTGTCTACCTGCCTAAATATTGATATAGTTCTGACCATGTCAGAAAGCTTATTCTTTCCAAGCTGAATCCTGTAGCAACAGATCCTCAGGTTTAAATTCAGAGTGTATCTTCAACAAACTGGGCTATATTGGGGAAGTTTCTCAAACTTTTCAGGCCTAAGGTACTTTATCTGAACACAGGCATGATAGTAGCTACATTATCAGGTTGTAAGAATTAAACTGTCTGATGCAAAGAAGGAGCTCAACATATGTTAGTTCCCTTTCTCTTTTCCCCCTGATTGATA